AGAGAGAGAGAGAGAGAGAGAGAGAGAGAGAGAGAGAGAGAGAGAGAGAGAATGCAGTCACTACCGTACACTACACTAATGTGCACTGTGGGTTGTGGTGTGTGGGTTACTACTGCGCTTATGAATCTTGGTTTTGAGTGTTTTTAAAGATACAACAAGAGCAGGTCTAGCCAGCACTTTGCCCCATCCTGGATGTCTCTCTATTGAAAAAAAAAAAAAAAAGTGCATCCACACACTAGCCCTCAAGTGGAGTCCCAGAAGATACCACAGATGGCCTTGATGGAACAGAAATGGGTACTGAGAAAGATCTTTGGCCAGAGAATGGAGAGCAGTGAATGTGTTCCTACCTAACTCACTCCTCATTCCCTATTGAAACTTCCCTGGTGGTCTAGTGGTTAGAATTTGGTACTCTCATTCCCTATTGAGTCAGATTAAGGCACGCCAAGCCAGCCAAGGAAGTGAGCATGGTCTGCTATCACTGAATTCCAGAATGCCATGTGCAGAAAACACTTTCCAGAGTCCTCCACTTGGAGCCAATCAGACAGTGGTACCTTCAGTTCTTCTGGAGAGAACCCAAGCAGGTTTTTGATAGGAAGGCCTAGACCTGACATCAGCCTGAGCACTTGGAAATAAAAAAGATGGCTGTCATCAAGATGGGAGCTACGGTTGACCCTTTCAGTGACAGACTCTTTCTTTTTTTTTTTTAGAGTGTGTTTCTTTCTTGCATTTAGTTAGGCCAAACTTGCTCTGTAGAGCATGTTTCTTTTCATACCTTTAATACATGTAAAATGTTGCTACCTTTTATGCTTGCCTTGACCAATTCTTTGTTCAGGACCAAAAAAGCCTAGTGAATACCTCAAAGAGACTCCTGAACTCCAAAACCTAGTGATGTGCTATGCTGGATGTCTCTGACTGGTCCCTAAGAAACTGGACCAAGGGGAAAATAGTACAGATGTAGTGGGAGGTGCCTGCTCACACAAATTATTCATACTCTGAGGTATGGGGCATGGGGACCTGTGCAGAAAATATGCAGCGCGCCTTTAAATACAGAAAACTCAGCAAGACCATTATCGGTGTAGTGGCAGCGAGACAGTGCAATTGGTATTTACTGAAAAGTATGATGTAAGTACATATTGATGTAAGGCAAGAAGGCAAGGCAACTGGTAATCAATATTAATAAAGTTTGTTCAAAAAAGAAAAAAAAGAGAGAAACAAAAACAAATCCCTAAGGGCTCTCTGTCATGAAATGGACTTTTATTTTATTTTGTTTTTTAAATTGATTATTTTATTAAATGTTTTCAATCGGGGCCGGGGAGATGGTTCAGTAGAATAAATGTTTTCAATAATTTTTCTGTGTATGGTGTATTTTAAAATATGCAATACACAAAGCAAAATTATCTGGACAGTAGTGTGTAGTCTCTTTCTGAATTCTTTTTGCATTCTTTATCTTTTTTATTTTTTATTTTATTTATTTTTTTATTTTCCCATAATTTTATTGATAAACAAATAGCAATGAGACAGTTTCAAATCAAATTGGTAGGACAGTTTCAATAATTAACACATTCTTCCTAGTAATTAATTGCTGTACAAGATGCAGACATGATACCCTATTTACAAACACCATTAGAACAAATCTCTGTATTCAAAGTGGTTAGGATAGATATATAGTTACATTCTCTTAATGAAATGAACTTTTAGATACATCACTTCCAGACTAAGCATATCTTCGGTGGTATTTTAAAGATTATTTCTTTTATTATGATTTTTCTGTCTTCTGCTGCAAAAACACTCAATGTGGAGAAAAAGATAATTTAAATGTCTGTACAAAGCCTGGTGTGGTGGTCATGCTTGTAATCCCAGCATTTGGGGGCTGAGGCAGTAGGACAGTGAGTTCCTTGCTATAATACTTAGCAAGACATGTTTTTGCAAAAGAAAAAAGAGAAGTGGGGGGTAGGAGGAACAGGAGAAGAGAAGCAAAAAAGAAAAGAAAAGCTTATGCAAATTTTTCCCGAGTTTGTCTATACTCAAAATAGATCAAGACTTCTTTATGCTTTACATGTGAAGGATACTGAGGTCATCACTGTATTTTTCTTTCTTAGCACCTATCACAGTTAAAATTCTTTAGTTATGTGTGTGATTATTTGCATAATGTTTCCTCTTTCCATCCCTCATGACTGCCCAAGACAGAGCTGGCTATGTTTTATTTCTCCAAAGTGTGTACAATGTTAATGTAGTTCCCTACACATAGCAAGGAATTGGCAAAATCTTTTGAAAGAATAAAAATATTGTTAATAATGTGAATTTCTATAAAAATAAGTATAATACTAGATGCATTCTAATAAAAAATATTAATATTATCCATATTAATATTATCCAATTTAAAAAGAATTCAGAGCAAGTGTCATTAACCTGCTCTATTTTAAATCAGAAAATAAGTGAGGAAAATATTTTTTATTAATTTTATTGAGAAACAAATAGCAATGAGACAGTTTCAAAACTGATTAGTAGGATAGTTTCAATAATTAATACATTGCATATTGTTGTCTTCTTAGCAGTTATTCATAGTACAAAATGCAGACATGATATCCTGTCCAAACACTACTAGAACAAATCTTTCTATTCATTGAATTAAGAGAGTAGCTGCATATCTATGCTAACTACTTTGTATATACAGATATAAAATGGTCCTTCATTTGTATCCCCTTTTTTGTTTGGTCTTAACCGTCCAGCAACAAAGTATAAAAACGAGGTATAAAAAGTAAAGCCATATTAATATGCTGAGCTGCAAAAGGCTCAAGTCAACAACTTCTGACATTGCCAATCCTATGGATAAGCCACTGCTATTATAGACTACTGGAGTATATTGGATTATTTTGCTGAATTTATGTACTTACAATATTTAAATGGCAACGGAATTCATGCACCTACCATCTTTAAATGGCAATGTAATACCCATTTCTGACAAAACTAAACAAAAAAAAAGGAAAAATATTTTGAAGATACCTTTTTAAAGATAAAATAAGTGATCACCATAACAACTGGAAGCAATAACGTCTTTATGTACCTCAGGGGAGTCTGCAACACAGGAAATTATTCAAAATAGTTACTGAATTTTACAATCTGTAAAAATCTATGTCAAAGCGAGTGCCACAGTATTTGTCAACAATAAAATGTCTGTCATCAGCAAAACACATATTGATAAACTTAAACATTCTAATGGGGGCTGGGGACATAGGTTGGTGGTCTAAGTGCCTGCCTGGCAAGCGCAAGGACCCTGGGACTGCTGGCGCACACCTGCAATCCCAGCACTGGGGAGGCTGACACAGGAGGATCACTATGAGTTTGAGCTGTGTAGCGAGACCTTGTACTAAATAATAAAAAGATTAAAACAAAACTTTTTAATATAAGGGTCAAAGTTATAAACTAGTTATATAAAATGTTCCAGATTAATAATATAGCTATTAAACCTTGAATTAGCTAAGGCCATTATGTTTTTCTTTATTCAGAACCATATTTTCTTCATATAATACCAAGTTTCAACATGTGTGGTACTGCTCCCTGGGCCCAAGATTGCTGCTTCCTATACTATAAAGTGCTATTATTTTCATCTGTTAATAAAAGAGCTAACAAGGAGCAGGCTAGCCAAAATGATTACTGAAAGTATGAATAAATGCAGAAATAATATCAGCTAAATCATCTGTTATGTATCTCAGCTATATTTCTTTTTCTTCCTGGGGATCAAAGTCAGGGCCTTGTGCTTTCCAGGCAGGTGCTTATGCCCCTCAGCTGTCTCCCTGGCCTTCAACTATATTTCTTAAAAGCCAGAACCAGTTCATTTTTCTCTTCGCTGGCCCATAGCAAAACTCTCCTGCACAATTAGTAGCTGATAAAAAGCTTCTGAATATAGTGGAACTAGTTAGATGGAGAAGAGAATACAAAATTTTATTATTGTATTTATCACTAGTGCAGAATTCATCATTAAACAAGGATCATCCAGTGACAACTTTTTCCAGTTCTGTGAGAAAAAAAACCTCAGACAAAGGCGAGAGCACTGGTTTGGGCGTGCCGGGGTCCACCAGAACCCATGAGCTAATTCTTGCTCCACTGTGCACAGTAGGCAAATTCTTTAAGCTTTGTCTTCTTTTTTGCAAGTGGAAAAATTATATTACATGGCCACTGAGATCACTTCCTGGTTTTATATTTCACAGCCCTACAAGGAGGTAATTTTTTTTTTTTTTCAGAACCGGGAATTGAACTCAGGCCCTTGCGCTTGCCAAGGAAGCACTTATTCCACGGAGCCATCTCTCCGGTCCACAAGGAGGTAAATATTTTAAAGCTAAACAATTTATACATTTTTTTTTTAAAAAGATGACACCATGTATTTTGAGTCTCTAAATTTAAAATAAGTTTTGTGTACTTATTAAAAGTCATTACCAATATCCCGTTAGAAATTGTAATGATACTTTGGGTAGGAAATGCAAAAGAATTTCATTTCTTCCAAAAAATACAAGAATGTGGATTTTATTCTCCTGAATGGGCCTGCATCTGAAACTGGCCTCAATTGTTAAAAATCCTTGATCAATGATAACAATAACTACTGTGGATCCTGTTTATTAACTACCTAAATGAACATATTTAACTATTTTTTAGGATAAGGGCTACTAGCTATTGGCTTTATAGGTAAGACAGGTGAGGAACACCATGTGGTTAGCAACTGTTATAGTCAAAGATGGCAGAGAAAGTAAATTTAATATATCTGAATAAAAAATTTGAATTTCACACAAAAAGGAAAGCTAAAGAGTGAAAAATCCCCATGCCTTTAGGCAAGGAAAACAGAGAAATATGCATACCACTCGTTCCATGAAATAAGATTCAGGAGCACAGGAGTACATTAAGGTATCAAAATTGGTGTACCGTAGGATTCTGGCTGCTAAGAGGTCAGTCATGCTAATCTGGAAGAAAATAGAGTAAAAGGAATTGGAATTACACAAACGCTGATGGCTGTAACAACTGGCTTGACGTAAGACTAACAAATGGGTTTGGCTCTCTAGACCCAGCAAAAAATACAGAGAATCAAAGGTATTCTATGCTGACTTCTCAAGATAACTGCAAAGAGAAATATAAGAAGAAAAGGAAAAGAAAAATAGGTTAAAAATCAGCAGAGAAGATGGTAACACTAAAATGAACACTTACTGGGAAGAAACCACCTTTCAGTTAATCATGACATTAATTTATCATGAAAAATAATCCAATTACCACTTTTACTTCACACACTGTAACTCACAGACCTTCTATGCCTGGTTATTTTCATCAAGTCAGCTACAATGATTACGTTTCTTACTTCTTGCTGTGCTGTGTGGTAACCTCTTGTCAGTGAGAAGTGTTTTTCTACTGAATTCTCAGAAGGCCAGGAAAGGAAAAAGTATTTAGCATGTACAGCCTGAATTTAAATTATTTGGTAGGCACAGACATGATTTTATAACAAGTTTAGTCGTTACCAATATTTTCTTTCACTTATAGTTTCTCTTATCTACCAGCATGAAAGGTAATTTAGAGAAGTTCTTTGTTTTCCTGATTCAAAATAGACCCGCTGACTAACAATGTCAGTCAGACCACTAGTATTCCGTTTCTCACACCCATCAGCTAGAGAAAGTCACTTACAACTACTGAGGGAAGATGTGTGTGTTTAAGATTTGTAAAATAAAAATAAACAATGCAGAGCAAGGCAAGAACCAATTCAGGGCAATTGATAAATAACTTCCAAGGCCTAGATGGAGTTTATCATGCCCTACAAAATAAAGTTATAACAAGTAAAAAGACAATAAGGGAAACCTTCCAGACCCATCAGAGATAAATAAAAACAAATCTGCCAAACCACTATACAAAGCTAGCAATAAATAGCAAATAAATGCTTACATTTAAAAATTTTATTGAACAATTGCATGAGTGTATGTTTATTGGATAGCAATAGCACTTGCTCTTTTTGAGCGGGAGTTCACATAATCTCAGTACTAGACAGGGTCCTGACTGGATGGCAGCAGGTAAGGTCAGTTTCATGCTACAGATTGTATAACTGCGCATGCATGCTTATTTCTTATTCTTTTATTTTATTTTATATTTGCTTTTAGTACAGGATCTACTGGGTCTACAAGTTCTACAGGGATTACAAGGTCTCACTACATAGATTGGCCTCATAGTGATCCTCCTGTTTTCAACCTCCCAAATGCTGGGATTACAGGCACACACCACCATGCCCAGTCTCTATCGCCATCTCAGCATGCCCCAGGGGCAGGGCCGGTACAGCACACTGGGGATCAAACCCCGGCCCCTGCATCTACCTAAGCAGGTGCTTTAGTCCACTGAGCTATCATGCTGGCCCTTTATTTCTTAATATAAGGCTAAAAGAGAAACATTGCTTTCTATTCCCTAAACTAGGTAGTTAAGTAGGAAATGGGGCCTGAAAACAGGCCATTATTTAAGATATTAGATTAAACAGAAATACCACATGAGAGATAAGATTCTTATGTGATTTTTACAAATAAGGCAGAATTTTAACGTTTTTCACTTTTTACAAACCAATGACAATTTAAAAATATAAAATAATAATTTTAGTCCATAATTATAAATAAAACTACAGAGGTATTACTTTCCTTTGTTTTGGTTTGGTTTGTTTTGCTGAGAGAGGAATTAAATCCAAGCCTTTAAACTGAACTACCTCCCCAGTGTGAGTGGTAGGCTGACAGGCATGTGCCACCGCAGCCAGGTCTACAGAGATTTTTCAGGGTTCTGCATTTTAGGGCTGAGTGCAGAGTAGTCATGCGTTAACACGCAAGAAATGCAAAAGCTATTAAACAAGGGACTACTTTTATTTCACCTAAAATATTACAAATGACTGCTATACAAAGTATTAGATTTTTTTTTTTTCTTAGAAAACTGAATCAGCATTCACTGGTACTTCTGTTTCCTAGTGGCTGCAAAGGCCTTTGAACTGTAGGGTTTTATATTTGTTTCTCTTAATATTAGGTCCAGGGCCCTGAAACAATAGGGACTTCTATAAAATTAAGTGGTAAGAATAGACCACTTCAAAGTTTTCATCCAGCTGCGTATTTTTTTGAAACTGTAATGCTTTAACTAGAAAGTACTTACGTGGTCTGAAACGCCTAAGATTTCGGAAGTCAGAAGTTTCATAATGATTGTTCCAAGCCACCAACCACAACTTTGAATTAGCTAGAAAATAAAATAGAAGTCCAGCATTACAAATTAAAAAATATCTAAGTTAAAATTTTCAGTCATATCTAGAAGTCACACAAAGATTTTAATCCTGGGACATATACTGTCTGCATTAAAGAAGTATATATGACAACTTCTCAAAAACAAATACTCCTTTAGAAAATTTTACCTAATGGAGCTAAGAGTTTAAATTACTGCTATAAAATACAAAAGCACACAAGAACTCTACATATTACAAACCTAGAGGAAAATATGAAGTTATTTCATTCTAATCTCTATCAATAATAGGGATCATATGTTTATTTCCAAATACTGTTTTATAGCTGAAAATCCGTATTTCACAATGCTGTATTAAAATGCTTCTATTAATATAATCTAATTTTTAAATGCTTTTTTTATCATATTCTGTAGGGACTTAAAGTTCAACATATCAATACTTGATGAAAAATACCTGTTCCTTATTATGCCTAAGATGTTTGAAATGCAGTGAGATAGTGAGGTTAAGCTTGATAGCCTAAATCATTTGATAATAACAATAAGCTTATCTTCTGGAGGGTTAACAACCTAAGTTTGCAGGCCAAAATTAAAGAAAAAGGAGGGCTACAAGGAAAGCCAACATTTTGGCCCTAGCCTTCTAAGGTCAATTAAGACTCAGGACATATGAGAACTTGTACTGTAATGTCATGTACCTCGGTAGTGTCCCAAATTTTCTGATCAAGAAGATTATGAGGCCAAAGAGGAAAGTGATCGATGACGTAGAGTGTGCCTAAGGAGAGTCACATGGAGAGAAGATATTCTCTCAGGCTTTCACAGAGAGCACATTGGCCAAGCAATGGCCGTGACTCATTCACATGGCAGCACTGACAAAAGTTCTACAATCTGAGGTACAGGATCTCAGGATAAATCCTGAGGGCATTTCACTGACCTTCTCAGACCAAAAAGCTACAACTCTTGTTGCACAGGTCCTGCTTTACCTGGGTCTTAACCATTCAGTAGAAAAGTATGAAGACGAAATATAGGAAGTAGAGCCCTGCTGTTATGTTGAGCTGTGGGGGACTCAGGTCAATAATTTCTGACATTGCCAGTTGAACAGAACACCCAATGCTATTATGGGCTACTGGACTCTTTTAGAATATTTTGCTGAATTTACACACCTATAATATTCAATAACGGAACTTAGAAAAAATGGGGTATACTGATGAATGTCCATTTTGTATATGTGTATTCAAAGTGGTTAGGATAGATATATAGTTGCATTCTCTTAATGAATAGAATGATTTGTTCTAATGGTGTCTGTAAATAGGATCTCAAGTCTGCATCTTGTACAGCAATTAACCACTAAGAATAATTTATGCAGTGTATTATTTGTTGAAACTGTACTTCTGATTTGATTTGAAACTGTCTCATTGCTGTTTATCGATAAAATTTTGAAAAAAATGCTTCTATTAGTCTTTTGGAAATAAAATTACATGAGTCCCTCTTCAATCAAGGAAAATTTGATGATTTTAATTTTCTTTTGCAAAACAGAAATATGCACCAAGGCAGACAGCAAATTTCTTGGTGTTTACTTTCTGGCTGCCCTAGATTACTGAGAAAACCAGTGTAACATCTGGGCAGCCTGAGGAAAATAGCAACAGCCTAAGTCCAAACCACTCCACAAGAAATCCGACAAACAGAATAATAACATCCACAAATGCAGCAAATGGACAGCACAAGCACCACCTGCCCTGTCAACAGGAGCGGAAACAGCACCGCAGATTTGTTTCTGACCAAACCTCTGCAGAAATTAAGGGGAGACCCTTAAATAGTGATAAAGCAAAAAGAGCAGGCACCCAAGAAAGTGGAACCCCACCACAGAGGTGGATAAAGGCTTGGCAGATTGAGAATGGACTAGAAAGCAGGGATTTAAACGCATAAAAATGGTAGTAGTGCAAACTTCAAATAACAGATAAGGACTCCCAAAATCAAAGGATGATGACGCACTATTGCTATCTCATAAAAATGAAGGAGGAAGGGAAGAAGTAAGGAAGCCACCATTTTCCACTACAAGGACCCGGGCTGGTTCCAGGGCTGGGCCAGGCCCAACAGGATGAGCCAGAGCTTCTTGGGTGGCCACGGTGCACCCAGGATCATGATGGCCTGCCAAGGGCACATAGGATCTGGTGGAAGGCATTTGCCCTGACTATGCCTGGAGCTTCTATCTGTGATAGTGTGAACTTCCCTGTGCAGACTCTAGATGATCCCAGCATCATTCCCTGCAAAGGGCCCCGCACAGCAACCCCGTGGGCATTCCTTGCAACCTAAACTTCGGCTGGGAAGAACTGCCCTCTGTGGTGCCTTCACAGCTTAGTGTTCATTTACTTGGATCATCTCTACATCTGAAGATTTAAAAATATTTCCCCATACAAATGTATTAGTATTTTGCTAGATTTATTAGGATACTGTATATATTTTCTTCCAAATATATAATGAATATTTTCAAAAGTATGTGTTCTACTTTTTTGTCAAATTTCCAATACTTCAATTTTTTTCTTAGATATTCTTGAACTTATAGCTTATTCTTTGTAGTCTATGCTTAAAATGTAATAGAAAATGTAGTTTAAGACAATAAATTTTCCTTTGAGTACAACAAACACTTTTAGTTATTGTGATTTTTCAACAGATTCCAAATGAAATTTTGATTTTCTTTTGAGTTGTAAAATCACCCAATTTTTATGAATTAAAAATAATACATATTAGAATTTCCATGTTATGAAACAATTTAGCTGTCAAATACTTCTACATTTTCACCATAAGGAACACAAGATTGCCTCTAGAAAGCAGAACTGGCAACTCTTCTGTTCTGTTCTTTTGTATTCTGAGTAGAACTCTCCCTCCTCAGCTTATCATAGCTTTTCTAGTTTTACCTTCTCAATATGTAACATGTAATAAGTAATGTATAATATATAACATATAATATAAAATTATGGCTCTTCAGTATGCTTTTCTTTTTTAACAGGAACGCATCAAAACCCACAGAAAAAAAAATAAATGCTAGCACAGAACTATTTCCTTTTGACAGTAGCTATCTGTAAGACTTATTAAATCATTTTTAAAGTATATCATCTACATTCATCAGTTAAAAACATTGAACCTCACCCAGAAGTTGAGTTCAGATACTCCCATTCTATGAATTTTATTTCTCTTTAGAATTATCACCTGAAATACATGTGAGAGAAATGTAAATCAGTAACATTAACATTTATATTTTATATGAATTGTACATTTCAAACATTGCTCAGCCACACTCTTTTATCTCAACTGCCCTCAGCCACCTTTCTTCTCAGTTGGTCATTTCACACAAGGGCCAAATGTCCTCGAACTGAGAGCCAGACACTCTGCTACACATTGCATTGCCTCTTGAATTACGTTAGCACCTTCCTGTGTTATGCTGCATATGTCTTGCAGGCTAACCCCGCTGGAAAGGTTGATGGTGTGTGGGTACCACCACCTTGGAGTGCTGGCAATTTTGACACAACATTGGAAGGAGTAAACATATATGGAGTGGGAGTGGGAGAAAATGAAGAGATTCAGTACTTTGAGGCAAAAAGGGTAGAGGAAACTAAACCTGAGAACAATGCCCAAATATTCAATCAGTAAGTGCTCATGTTGAGGTGAGCATTGCTTGATGAGAATAGGTTATACCAAGAGGCTAGAGTTATCCTAATTATTTTGCAATGGTTCAAAGTGGTTTGGAGTGCTACTCTCTAAGCTGCTTTCAAAGATAACTAAGTTGAGGGACTGGGGAGGTAGCTCAGTGGCTTATGCACTGGTCTAGCAAGCACAAGTTTGATCCCTGGTACCAAAAATAAATAATAAGACACTGGCTTACAAAGATAACTAAGTTGTAATTGAAGGAAAATCAGTCTTATTAAGTAACTGTCCCATCACCATGTGACCAAGATCTGGATTCCCCCAATCCAACCATCTACATTAATCATAAGAATCTGATCAATTCTAAAAATCAAATTTAACATTGAAAGATGAAGATTTGACATCAGGGAAAATATTCAAAAGAATGTGCCTAAGTATGTAGCAATTTAAGGAGTTGCAAAAAATATTCTGGGCAATGGTTTTGTTACTATAAGGAACAGTTACCCACTAAAGAAACTTAAGAGAAAAGAAGGCATTTTTTCATATCATAAGTTCTTCTAAGGGTTAAGTTTTTATTTTTATTTTTTATTTGTTGGCAGAACTAGGAATTGAACTCAGGCCCTTGCACTTGCCAGGGAAGCACTTATTTTACTGAGCCATCTCCCCGGCCCCAGGGTTAAGTTTTTAAAATAAGTCTAGTTGTTACCATATTAAGATTGTCTACATGGATGTTGCGTGGATCTAGTGTACTATATTATTTTTCAAGGGTAAAGAAGAGAAAAGCCATCTGGAAATTTTTTTCTGTGAATAATAATTGGGAAAAGGTGCTATTTGTTCTCCTGTACCTATATTAAACAAAATCTCTTAACTGGGGAAATAACCTACATGAGCTTAACCAGAACTTACCCATGTCATTAACAAAGATGAAAAATAGTAAGAGGATAAGTATATTGGATTTCCAAACATCAAAATGAAACAGAGGATAACTGAAACCTGAAAAATGAAAAAATCTTGTTTTACAGATATTACACATACAGCATAATGAATAATGGAGACATATCATCATTTTTAACACAACTATTAGCTATATAGATAAAATAAAGGTCATGGCCCATAGTAGTTCAAGTCACTGCTACTTTCTAACTATTAAAATTCAAGGTAAATTCATAATAACACATCTAAATTGTTTTCTCTACTTGCCATCTACAGAAAATAGATTCTAATATTTCTATTATTTCAATAACAAAATACTAAAAGACTTAGAACTGTGTTTTGCTAATCTTGTATTTGTTGTTTAATTTGTGATTTCCGTCACTAATGAGGCTTTATTATTTTCTTTTTGTTTTTAAGGAAGATACATTTGAAATTTAAGATAAAAACAAAGATGCAGCAATGTGAAACTTCCATTGTATAATTTCATATTCGTACTAGGCATTAGAAATCTCAAGTCTAGGGGAAAAACGACTTTCAAAATGAAAGTCAAAAATAAAATGTAAAAATATCTTAGAGAGGCTAACACATTTGCAATCTAGTTGAAAGCATAATGTACCATTGCTAATGCATATTCCCAGTTTTTTCCTAGATATCATCAACATTATATGATTAAACACTACTATAAACAGAATTAATTTTCTTTTACATACTCTGGAACTTATTTTAGCATTTGATTTATAACATTCAAACATTACATTTATAACATCAAAAATGTTACCATATTCATATAAATGATCTTCTGAAATTTGCTTGGTTCAACATACCCCACAACATACATGGAAAATAATGAGGCTACCTGAAACAAACACACAATATCACAAAAGTGTTTTCACCGAAACATCTAGCAAACAAATACTTGTTTTAGATAATATAGGAGGCGAGTCATATTTCTTATCATGGTAGGCAAGGTAATTTGAACCAATCTTCCAGTTGAACAAGTGGAATATCTAGGGAAATATATCTATCCATATATCTATATCTAT